TCTCTTTTGTGCTGTGTCCTTCGATCAAAGAGAGTCGTTCCGTCCTAGAGTCGCGCCTCGCGCACCTTTATGGGCTTGTTTATATGAACTGCTTCGTGTGCAACTGCACTTGTTCTGGACTCTAAACGTACAGGAAACCTGCTGATGCCTGTTAGCCGCAAGATGTCAAGATGTTGCACTTCCCGGTCTTCTGGGCGGCCCTTACAACGCTACTGGGACCCATGAAATCCAGACACTGGGACGACCAGTTTTCGTGAGTGTCGCCTACGGCTGGGGTTAAGCTTGAGGTTTGGGGAGGTAGTTGCCAAGAAGTGCAATTGATAGGTTGGCTTCGGCACCCAACTTGTCTGATTAAATCCAAAGGCCAAAGGCTCTTTTTGCTTCAATCGGAGCGGGGAGTTTTGGCGGCACAGCGATGCGACAGCCGTGCTGTCAGATGCCCCTGAGATTACAAAAGCCCGGGGGCTTGCACGCCAAAGTGCAAAGCGACAGAGATCGGATTCGTACTTTGACATCCGGCAAGACCTGCCGCCTGCCGCCTACAAACTTCGACATCCCCTCTCAGTTGTCTCCTACGCCACTTTGCGTGAATTAGTCTCGAGCCATGTGGCCATCGCCTGTACTTAATGGCACGACTCCAGAGTGTGTCCTTTGAGCCTCTTGCATCTGGCACCTTACGGGAGCTCCGCTCATATTGCATGCGAGGCAGCATCCAGGGGCCTGTACAGAGCTGGCTTGCAAGAAGCACACACACCTGTCGCTTTCGCACTGCATCTGCACTCCGCATGTGCGGCGCACGTGAGGGACAAGAGGTGTGGCATTTCCTCGGAGTGCCAAGAGAGTCAACCTCCTGGGCCTATAGGATGGCAAACGCAACTAAGGCAGCAACCCATCTCTCATCAGCGAAACCCTGCACGTCCGAGTCAAGAGAAAAGCAGAAAGGCGGCGTCCTTCGCAGCCTTCGCAGCCTTCGCAGGCTCCAGCATCACCCACTCGTCCTCAACTCGCACGGCTCCTGCTTGGCGCCTTGCTCTGCCCTTTGCCCACCTCCTCCGTGTCCGGCAAAGCATCGGGAGCACGAGCAGTTTGCCGCCTCTCCGCCCCTGCCACAAGTCTGTTGTATAACTGTATGGGGGCCAGTTTCGCAACTTCAACATCAGCCTTGAACCTCGTGCCGCTCGTGCCGCTCCTGTGGCTCCTGTGGCTCCTGCGGCTCGTGCCGTGGCGAGGACGTCTCCTGTGCGGCCTCCTGCAGAAGTCGAGAAGAGAGAGAGACTTACACTGAGTCTTACGCAGAAGGGACCCGAAGGGGCCCGGGCCCGGACCTTGGGCCCGCGGGCCCGCTTCACAGCCCCGGGCCGAGCCTTGGCCCAGGCCTCCCAGGTCTCACGCGCCTGCGCGGCTGCACGGCTGCGCGCGCCCAGTCAGGGCCAGGGAAGAGAGAGAGGGAGTAGACATGTTGCGCAGTCCGCGGACGTCTCTCGCTGTCTGTCCTTCCCCTCTCTCCTCTCCTCCCCTCCTCCGGGCTGGTCATGGGGGAGTCCGAGTCCGCGAGTTTGGCACCGGCAACCAACAAAGAGGCCGCTGCCAGCTCAAAGAGCGGCATGGCTCTGTGACTCCTGTGCCCGGGGCCGGGCGGGCCGGGCTCTCTCCCGTGTCGGAATTGAGCTGAGCCAACAGCAGCGGATGAAACTTACAGTAAGGCGCGGGCGCGGGAGGAGGAGGAGCGTGCCGTGCGCTCTTTGACAGCTTGGGCAAAGGCTTGGCACGACCCTTTTTCCTCTGAGACGCGCCGGCCGGGAGCCGTGCTCAGCACGTACCCAGTCCTTGTCGCTGACCGCCGAGGCGAGGAGGGGCCGCGAGGAGTGGCGTTGGGGCGCTGAGTGCTCTGCGAGGAGTTTCCTTACCTCCCACATCCATCCACATCCCGTACGGTCCCTACCCTTTTTCACGTTCGCCTCCCTGTCCCTGCACTTTGAGTTGTCGCTACTGCCCACAGAGCACAGCTTTTCACGGTCCAACACAGAGATCCTTCTTAATCCTCATGTTATTTTTCTCCTATCTATCTCTTCTTCCACACAGTCAAGAAAGGGCAGGCGGACAGCCCTCCCCGCGCGCAGGTGCGCACTGGAGTCTATCTCTTCTACATCTCTTCCTCTCTCTCTCCCTCTCTCTCCCCTTCTCTTTCCGAATCAGTAGGACGTGGTAACGAAGTTCCGGTCTCGTGTTCCTGTGCTGCTGCTATCCGCCCATCAGATACTGCAGGCTGCAGGCTGCTGCGCTCGCAAGGATTTCGTGCAAACTGGGTGCCCCTTAAGGCAGACTCTGAGCGAGGCTTCCGCCAGACGGGTGAGACAGGCCCGAGGCCGGCCCAAAAGCTCTCACCGCGACCGCGACGGCGGCGCGCAGCGGCGCAGCGGCGCAGCGGGCCTGAAGGCAAGGGCACGGCAAAGGCACATCACCAAGCACAAGTGCTAGGCTCCAAGTAGCAAAAGAAGTCTTTGGGTTCTTTTTCGCCACGAAACTCTGCTCAATGCAGATCTGGAGCGCGAAACAGTCGTTGGCCGAGTGCCGCAGCCCCGAGCGCAGCGCGAGGCTGAGCGGCGCTCGAAGCCCGCTCGGAGCTGCACCGGGCAGAGAGGGCTTTGAAAGGGGTAGCTGACTCAGTCGGGTATGTGCGAGAAGTCCATCCGTCTCCAAAGCACGATGCGGCCCAGCCTGCTTTGAAACAGCTCAGGAAGGCACCGCTCGGCTCACCCACATCCCCGACGTCGTCCGAGGCTGCGGCGAGTCGGCACTGGCCAGCAAAGTGTCCTGCAGCAAGTTCAGCAAGTTCTCCGAGCTGAATCGTGCTGTGAGGAAGCGGCCTGCATGTTCACAGACACAGCCACCACAGGAACCTCACAGAGAGCGCCATCATTGCCGATGTGCCGGGAATCAAGCTGGCTCTCCTGATGGTGCTTCAAGGGCTGCATCTTGTAGTTGGAGCCTTTCCCCAAGGGGTAGATGTGGACCTCAGTCTTCCCGCTCCCTCCCTCTCTCTCTCTCTCTCTCTCTGCTCTCGTTTTTTCTGTCCGCAGGTAGCGAGTCTAGTCTCCTGGACCCGCGCCCCCATGCGCCCCCCCTCTCTCTGAGTCGGTCAAGAGAGAAAAGGTGCGGGGTTTTGAGCGGATGATTGTCATCCTGGACAACATCCTTAGTACCTGCGACCACCTGATCCCTTCACTCAATTCCTAAAAAGTGTGTCACCACATTCTGGGGGTGGTTACACGTGGAGGGGCCGTCAACTCTGAGCTTGCCATGAACAAAACGAACGAGGAACCGTGCAACACGAAGTACTGGCCTTGTGCTCTTTCTGAAATCCCCCGAACTAGGCTACCACTGTGATGCAGTTAAGCGTGCCATCGCCCTCCGTTTTTTTGGCAATCATATCAGATCACCAAACCATAATTCCATAATCACTGACTGCGTGCAAAGTGTATGGCATCGGGTCAGCAAGAGAAATTAAGTAAGGGCTTCGAGCGCCCGTCAGAATTTGGGCATGAGCGCGCAGTACTTCCCGCCAATACATTCTCCCGACGCCAAGACAAAACTGCGAAGTGTACCCCACGCAAACGTGGCTTTTCACATCGAGCTGGTTCATTCACCGAGGCTCATCCCTGTTCCCGCGAGGGTCCTCCTTGCTAGTTGTTGTGTCCACTTCTGGATGCTCTGCTGCGGGCCGCTCTTGCACTCGTCGCAGGTCGGGTTGCTGTTGGGGTGTTCTAGGTCTCGTCCCTCTCCTTGTAAGCTCATGCAGTCTGATGCAGTCTGGCTGTCCCTTCTGGGGCAACTTCTGCTAGGGGGGCAAGTTCCCCCGGCATACCCGATTTGTTCCGGAAATTTCGGTGTGCGTGCGTAAGGAGCGCTGGCCAAGATCTCCGTGGAAATTTGTAGCTTTTTTTCAAGAGTGAACAGTTCCAGGGTAGCAGCACGAGCCCCCAAAGCAACAGTGCGGACGCTTGAGCCAAAAAGAGAGAGAGAGAGAGAGAGCTCTCTCTCTCTCTCTTCTTCCACAAGGGCAAAGGAGCTTGTCAGGCTCCCTGGCCACATGGGCCCCCCANNCTTTGTCGGGCTCACGGACCAGGTGTTAAAAGTGCAACGGAGTCCCCCTGTACGTACCAAGGAGCGAGAGCTACATGCATCGAAAGGAAAGGAAATAGGGGGTGATATTAAGCAGGGAACTCCAGTCAGCAAGTGCGTCTTTGGGACGCCATCGAATTCTGGCAGGTGCTCCCCGTCTCCCTCCCTCCCTCCCTCCCT